GTTTATCTGATTTAATACACATAATTAAAATTAATAAAACCTGGAAGATCAATGTTGTTGTGCTATGTTCTGTTAGGATTTCTTTTTTTAATCACACATTTAGTAGTTCATTTGTGCTTAAACTATTCATATGCATGAGAAGCTTAAAGAAAAAAAACCTCTGTACATGATGATGAAAAGGAAGTAATAAATTTTTTTGAAATTGCACTGTTATTTAAGTCACGTTCCTAAAGCCAGACCTTCCTTTGCAGCTGGCAGAGTTTTCAGATCTAATTGGCGACCTGGGGAGGCCCCTCTGGTATGAGTGAAGTGAAGAAGCTGGTGATGAAAGCCCAAGCGGATGCCATGAGTCCAGGCCTGTGGAGTGCACTGCCGTCTTCACCCGCCTCTTCTCCATGCTCATCTTCAAGCCCATCATCCATGAGACGCTCCTTTCAAACAAAACAAGAAATGTACTCCTAAGTGAGTAAGCAGCAAGCATGCACGCGTGCCAAAAAGGAGAGTTAAGTACTTCCCTAGAGAAGAAAGGAACGTGAGAGTAAGAAAATGGTACAGAGCTGGTCATTAGAAATCTTTGTTAAATCCAAAATTGATAAATTCCTTGGTGTTTGAGTTCAAAGGGATAACTGCCAATTTAATACAATAAATTCTCACCATGTACATAATTTTCTTTCTAGGCTATTTTAAGGAAGAAAAATATTAGTTCTTCCCACTTAATTCTAATATGACTAAGTTCTTCCAGATAAAACCACACAGCTTATATGTTAACTTTTCTTCATGTGCTATTCCTGAAATACTTATGAAACACCCAAGACTGTTTTATCATTTTGCCTCACACAACGCTGAGGACACATCCACACTGAAAACATACAAAACCTCATTAGCATACCATTTCTTCAAGTTCTAGGTTGTCTGCATTCTGCCCATGATTAACTTCAGCATTATTGTTGGGGGCCTGCTGCTGACCTCCTTCTTGCCTAAAAGGAAACCATCCAGCTTGGTGTCTGTTTGGTAAAATAAAGAAAAAGAAAATAAGTCACAACTGTTTTTATTTATAAAACTATGAAGCATTAGTGTCCTACAAGAGAAAAATGATTAGAACTATATTACATGAAAGGACCATATTGCCTACTTTAGGCTGAGAACTACCCCTCTCAAAGCAATAACAGCAAAACAGAAACCAATTTCAGGCAAAAAGTCTATCATGGGCTTAAGTGCCTCTATGCTAGATATTAAGACATGTCCGGAGTTATAAAACCTTTTTGTTATTTTTTAAAATGAAATTCAACTAGATAATTTGCTTGCCTCTTGTGACAAGGCAAAGTTAGTCTACTTAGGAAGAAAAAAATTTGACCTGTACCTAAAGGACTTACTAATAGTAACTATAATTAAAAAGAACATACTTGTACAAGAATGAATCATATATCTCCACCAGTTTTAAATATTGTTAATAGCTGAATTAATAGTTTTTATAATTGACAATAAAGGAAAAATTTGCTTCTAGACAATTCTGATAAATGTTCTCACTCAACATAACCTGGTCTGCTTCTGATGCCAGACCTACGAAACCCAACATTCTTTCTTATTTCCTCATCTGACATTTACAACAGACGACCATAGCCAGATTCTGTGCTGACCAGTTTCAAAAGTCATTCAAAGGAACCACAGAAAGGTAATGAACATCACTCACAAATAAACCAGTAGCATGGCTCCCATGACCATGACAAAGCGACTGAAAGAGGAATAGAAGTACACGATGCTGAGGAGGATGGCGGCTCGTGAGAACGTATACATCCAGTCCAGCCAGTCTCGATTGAAGTCTTCTTCGTTTAGCACCGGGCCTCCCTGGGCATTCATCTGAACATTCTCATTCATGGGTCGATTTTCTCGGGCCACTAAGTTGGGAGCTGGTGGAGGTTCTTCTCCAGGAAGACGTGCCAAATTTAGAGGCTGTGAAGGCGCAGGCTGGGCAGGGGTGGCATCTGATGTGGCCTGAGCTGAAACTGCAGCTTGACTGGAAGAGTCACCAAAATAAACATTAAAAAGGGAAGAACTTGATCACACTACGTATTTTTTCAAAGCGTCCTGGATAAGCCATATGTGTTTTTCATAAACCTGATATGGACTATCACTACCCCTGCCCCCCATTTTTTAGGTAAGCACAAATTTCAGTGCAAAGTGGGACCAAGATTGTGGCAGGAGTAGCTCAGGGAAGGAGGCTCTCAGCCTGGTTTGGGGGGATGGAGGGGAGATAAGAACAGCCACGTGAATCACTCTTTTCTCCTTTGCACTAAATACTTTATAAGGTAACAACCAAATCTCTTTCCAATCTTTTCACTAATGGCCCCTTTTGTCACTCTACATAGTACCCACCCCCTCCCCCTCAGACCCAGGTTTTGAAGGATTTGTCTAAAAAAATGTACATTAGTCATGACCCTGTGTCCACTGTCAGTGATAAATGGTTTGTATTAGCATTTTAAGATATTAACCCTTCAACCCCAATCCTAACTTCTGGGAACTCTATCTGGGGACCACTGACAGAGGTCCTTTATTAACTTGCAAAGAATTGTGGTTCTAAAGTTTGCTTATAATTTCATTGCTGGAAAATCAGGAAAATTTTTCTATAATATGCTCCTAGTAAAATAATATATATAGAATTTAAATTATCCAGCCTAGGGGGAAAGTTATAGAAGATGGTCATGAATTGATAAATGCTGAAATTGGGTGATGAACACAGTGTTCATTTTATATTCTATCTTTCTGTATGTTGAAATTCTTCTACAATCAAAGGTTTAAAAATCAAGATAGCAAAATAAAAAATAGAAGTTTCCTAGGCTACAAAAGCCTATTTAAGCCTGTATTCTAAAATCCTGCATCTATACGGGTTTTTTGGTTCCAAAACACTTATTATACCTCATATTGATTCAGAAGTTGAGCATCTTTTCATATGTCTACTGGCCATCTATATGTCCTCTTTGAAGAAGTGTCTATTCAGGTCCTTTGCCCATTTTTTAATTTGTTTGGGTTTTTTGGTGTTGAGTTTTATAAGTTCTTTATAAATTTTGGGTATTAACACTTTGTCAAATGTACCAGCAAATACGTTCTCCCATTCAGTGGGCTATCTTTTCAATTTGTTGATGGTTTCCTTTGTTGTGCAAAAACTTTTTATTGTGATGTAATCCCATTTGTTTATTTTTAATTTTGTTTCCCTTGCCCAAGGGGATACATCAGAAAAAAATATTATTATGAGAAATGTCTGAGATTTTACTGCCTGTTTTATTCTAGGATTTTTATGGTTTTCAGACTAACATTTAAGTTCTTGATCCATTTTTTAATTTATTCTTGTGTGTGGTATAGGATGATCCAGTTTTATTTTTTTGCACGTATCTGCCCAATTTTCCCAACACCATTGATTGAATAGACTATCTTTATCCCACTGTGTTTTTGCCTCCTTTGTCAAATATTACTTGACTATAAAGGCATGGGTTTATTTCTCTGTTCTGTTCCATTGATCTGTATATCTGTTTTTATGCCAGTACCATGCTGTTTTGGTTACTATGATCTTCTAGTATAATTTTGTTCTTTCTCCAGATTGCTTAGACTATTTGGGGTCTTTTGTGGTTCCATATAGATTTTTGGAATATTTGTTCTAGTTCTATGAAATACGCCATTGGTATCTTGATAGAAACTGCATTGAATCTTTAGATTGCTTTGGGTAGCATGGGCATTTAAATGATGTCAATTCTTCCTATCCATGAACATGGTATACTAGATGCCCAGTGCATGGATTTGTGCTCTGGTAGGGGGGCATGGCCTGCAGGGATCGGCCTGCTGTGGGGAAGGCGCTCATCCTAATCAGCTGAGTGGCACTCCCACTGTGGGAGCACACTGACCACCAGGGGACAGATCCTGTGTTGAGCGTCTGCCCCCAGTGGTTAGTGCATGTCACAGCATCTGGTCAACCGGTCGTTCTGCTGTTTGGTCACTGGGCTTTAATATATAGAGAGGCTTCCACTTGCTTGTATTTTCTTTAATTTCTTTCTTCAGTGTCTTGTAATTTTCTGAGTTCAGGTCTTTTACATCCTTGGTTAAATTTATTGCTAGGTATTTTATTCCTTTTGAAGCAATTTTGAATGAGACTGTTTCCTTAGTTTCCCTTACCTAAATCAATAAAATATATTTAAAAAATAATAGTAATAAAAATAAAATTAATTAATTAAAATGCAACTGATTTCTGGATATTTATTTTGTATCCTACTATTTTACTAAATTCATTTATCAGTTCTAGTAGAATAAATCCAACTTGATCATTATTTTTAATGTGTTGCTGGATTCAGTTTGCTAATATTTTCTTGGATTTTAGCATCTATGTTCATCAGGGATATAGCCATTTGATTTTTTTAATAAGTACCTGCTGAGATGTTTGTGAACTCCTTATAATAATTTTTAAAAGTTAATGTAATACATCAGTAAACGTAATCCCAAATCAAGGATAAAAGCAGAAAATAAAGTAAATAACACAGTGAGTTAAGATACTGAAATTCACTTACTATTGCATATAATACTGATGAGCATACATCTGCTGCCACCACAGCACCTGCAATGGGCTGAACGCGGGGTACACTGGGAATCCGGCTGGAACAGCTTGTCCGGGAAGCTGGTTGTCTACATTTCTGCCATAAAGAGATAAAGAAATGTCTTTGAATGCTCCGGAATTGAAAGCATTTCTCTAAATTTTCATTTCTGAACTACAAGTCATCCTACTGAATCAGAACCTGCATCTACACAAGATCCCCAGGTGATTAGCACAAACATTAAAAACTAAAAAATACAGCCCTAGATGATTCTGATACATGAGCAGCTTTCACCAGCACTGCTCTACTTCACCTTCTAATTCTCAAAATATGCACTCAGGTAATGGAATAAACTTCAAATGCACTCTGATCACTGCAGAGGGCTACCATGGAAGTCAGGAGAAACAGATTTCGAAGAGGCCCACGGCTGCCAGGAGTTCACTCACCCTTGCATTACGTATGGGAACTGATGACTCTGTGCGGGGTCGGTCTGTGCTTGGGGAAGGGAACGCTGCCTCAGTCCTTCTGAGGAAGAACTGACAGCTAACGGCAAGGTTTCTTGACTGGATGATGGAGTTCTTGATCCTGACTGATCTGAACTCTACAAACAGAAATGTAACTATTTTTTTCAGGAAGATTTAATTCATTGCAATCATGAGGTTACAGACACAGTGCTAAAAACGTATTGATGAAATCCCTCTGCAAACAGTGGATTTTAGGAATTTACTCATTTGAATCTTGTGCCCAGCACAGTAAGAAGATACTTTAATTCTGATGAGACTAAAGAGTTCAGAAAAATCAAAGTTTCTTAATTACACAACAGTTCAATTATCAACTAGAAAAGGCTAAGTAGTGAAGTAATTGTATACAAAAAGAGCATACAAAATTGTGAGGATTAAATTACATGAAAAGTTCTTTTCATGATGCCATAAAACATAGGAAGTGCTCAATAATGGTACCAATTACTGTGCCATTTCCTATGCGCCAGGTACTGTATAACGTGCTCTTAGTAACGCACTGTTTTAAAATTATGAGGAACATGCTAGAAATCAGAAGATCTAGAATCTGGTATTATCTCTGACATTAGCAAGGAACATGACCTTAAAATTTCACTTAACCTCTGAGTCTCAGCTTCCCTACAAAAAATAAGATTGAGCTACATTTTCAAGATTCCTTTCAGTTCTAAACTTCTGTTAGTTTAAAGATACCAGAAATATTGTTTTTAAAAATATGAACAAGGTATCAATCAGGATTTTAAAATTCTCATGTTTCAATGATGTCAGTAACTCACCAGACTCAACAGCCTTAAACAATATAACGCCTTGAGGACCGCCCAATTTGTTAGTATTTGAAAATAATTTATCATGTCCTATGTAAATGTGAAACACAATTATATTTTATATAAATTATAGCTCTTCCATTTTAAATACCTGGGTACAATATAATCTGAACATCCTTCCAGGTTTGCTAACGCTGTATTTTAGCTGCACTGCCTGCCTATTGACAGGATGTCTTTTTAGCGTATATACCCGTCCTACGTCCTGCCATGTAAAAGGTCCCAAGAACACTGGTCTTTTGCAAAACTAACACAAGCTTTCTTTAAGATGTTATTCCACACAAAATAGATACCAAATAACTCACTAGGGACTCTGATTCTTAGGGACATTATTCAGAAAGGCTTCTTTTTTGACAAGATTTCTCATTAAATGAACCATAACAAGGTGGTTAATTAAAAGTTAATAGGAGAAAGGCCTAGCCATTTGGCAGCCCAGCCTTATTTCTTTAGAACTCAGGATTTCTGACCTTACTAGATAACTCTCTCATGATTAGATTTTTAAGACATTTTCAAATCCTACTGAAATTTCTTAGTCATAAAACATTAAGGGGAATTCAACTTAATTTTCCTTTGACACATTTCAGATTTTCATACTACACCTTGAAAACTGAACATATATATACTAATGACATGAAATCATGGCTGAGGAACCACTGGACAAGTCAAAGGATTCTAAAACTAAACTAAACAAAAACTAAACCAACACAACTGTGCCCAAAGACTACATACAGAATTTCATGCCACTGCCAATGACTGTCCCTTCTGGTCCAAGGTGGGAAACAGATCCAGGCCCTTAGGTTTATTGACAAAACATATTTCAGTTTAATATAAGCTAAATTCCCACAGCTGGTACTACAGAATACTTACCATTGAGGACATAAAATTAAATACAGCAACTAGAGGATCAAGATCTTAAAGAAGCATTTAACTAGCATCTACTGGAAGATCTTTCATCTAGTTATCATCTGCCACTCATCCCCTTCCTTAGAGTTTTGGCTCAATTCTTGACAAGAAGGAAAGTATACTTAGAGCAGAGGTCCTCAAACTTTTTAAACAGGGGGCCAGTTCACTGTCCCTCAGACATTCCACACATGCGCACTGCGGGCCCGGGACGAGTCGGCTGCTAAGCAGGACAGGCAGCGGCGGCAACAACACCCGGCGGGCCGGATAAATGTTTTCAGCGGGCCGCATGTGGCCCACGGGCCTCAGTTTGAGGACGCCTGACGTAGAGTATAACAGTCTCTGCCCAGGAAGTTTAAAGCAAGCTTCCACTCATCCAATCCTTTTCTCTCACCTTCAAAACTTTTATGGGAAACCAAAAATAATTTAAGGTAAAAGGATTTAGGACAGTGTCTTTCATACTTGCAGAAAATGCCTAAGTTGAAAAGTTTTAAGAAAAATTTCCTGAACAATTCTAGGTAAATGAAAAACTAAGGTAGGAGAAATGAATACCCAAGTCTGAAAGAGCTGAGTAGGTTAAGTAATTTTTCCTCCTGCAGTTGGAATGTATGCCCAAATCTAGTCATTTTTTAAAAAGTAAAATTCTGTCCCAGACAGTATGGCTCAATAGGTTGGGCATAATACTTTGCACTGAAAAATTGCTGGTTCAATTCCCCATCAGGGCACATGCCCGGATGGCAGCTTGTGCTTTTCATAAAGGAAGTG